ACGTCACCCCACATTTCCTGGATCTGGTTATGACCAAATAACATGTTATTCCTGAAGGAGATCCTTAGCACGTTCTCTTCCCATTGCGGTGGCGGAGGTCACGTGTTTTGGGCAGCGCAGCACAAACGGAGGGGCTGCTGCTGGCCTGGGTCCTTTAGTGGCCGTGTGGAGCAGGACCCTCTCCACAGACCTGTGTGTGACAGGTAATGTGATAAGAGGCTTCTGTGTTAAGCTACTGAGATTCAAGGATTATTACCACTGCTCTGTTCAAATACAACTGTCTTTGCCTCTTCTCCAAGTGAATCATCTTCTCCATCCTGATCCATCTTGGAGAAGATGAACCATTTGGATCATCTTATTGGTTGGTAGAAGCTCTTTCTTTCTTAAGGATATGAACATTTTGTTTCTTACATATGCTACTAATTTTTCGCCCTGCCTATAATCTTGCTCACATTTTCTTTTGCTGAACAAACATAATTTTGCTTATCCTGCATTTTCTGAACAGGAATTTAAAAGTTTTATGTAGCCAAAGTTGTCAACCATGTTCTATGGCTTCTAGTTTGTTTGTTTTTTTTAATCATAAGTAGAAAGGAGCTCCGCTTGCCAAGATTACAATTTTCCAATTGTCATTCACTGAATAGGCTATCATTTCCCCATAGAGTAAAAGAAGCTATGTCTATGCCTGTTTCATACTAATTTATTTATTATTGCTTTTTAATATATATTCTTATATATGATGGAGCCAGCTCCTCTTTGTTTTTCCATTTCAAAATATTATTGGCATTTATATGCATTGATTCTTCCAGATAAATTTTATAATTTGTTAAGTTCCAGGAAAGAAAATGTGTTGGGGTTCTATATGAAATTATACTAAATGTATATTTTGATCAATAAAATGGTATCTTTGTTTATTTGGACCTCATCAAAATTTTGTGATTTTTAATTTGTAGATTTTTGCCAAATCTACTTTTAGGTATTTATAATTTTTGTTGCTATTGTGTGTATGTTTTATTTTTATATTAGATTGGATTATTATTAAATTTTATCACTCTGTACTTAACTGGTAACACAGAATAGATAAACTTCAAAGACCTGGGCATATAATTTAAACTCATTCCTGTTAACAATCACCCAGACTCTAGTTAAGATAGGTGGCATACATAGTGTCTCAAAGGTGAACAAACGTCTTTGGCAGCGCCAGACGGGAAAACGTGGCATCTGTCTACCTGGACCGTATCGCGGCGGCTCTGCATGGAGCCTCTCCCTCACTCCATCTCGATATTGGGCCCCACGAAAACTCTTTCCAAAACTTCCCAGGAGGCTGTTTTTCAGAGAGGTTACTTTCTGTATTGTATTTGTGGTCTGTATGAAGCTCCCAGAGAGGAATCCCCAGAGAGGAATTCTCTGGTCTTTGCTCCCCGTGAGAAACTGCTCTGTGCTTGCACCTAGCGGCCCGGACTGGGCAAACGGAACAGACTATTTCCTTCCACACAGGGTGCTGGAGAGCACGGTCTCAGATTTTCACTCACCTCTAAAACATGCATAAGATTTTCATGGATGCATTTGAATTCTAAGCTTATTCCTGGCCATGTTGAACTTTCTTTCCTACACTTATGCCTGTTTTTCATTTATTATTTATTTAATTTAATTTAATTTAATTTATTGGGATGATATTAGTTAACAGAGGTATACAATTCTACAATACATCATCTGTATACTATATTGTGTATTCACCACGCCAAGTCAAGTCTCCATCCATCACAATTTATCCTTCTTTACCTTTTTCTACCTACCCCTACTCCACCACCCTTCTCTCTGGTAATCGCCATACTGCTGTCTGTGGTCTGCATCCATGAGTCTTACTCTTTTTTTCTTTGCTTCATCTCTTCACCCTTCTCACCCAGCCTCTAGCCTCCTACCCACTGACAGCTGTCAGTCTGTTCTCTGTATCCATGAGTCTGTCTCCACTTCATTTATTTTGTTCTTTAGATGTCACATATAAGTGAAATTATACAATATTTATTATTTATTTCTTTATAGTGGGAGGATAACTTTTTAAGTATATTTTATTGATTATGCTATTAGAGTTGTCCAACGTTTTCTACCCTTTATCCCCCTCTACCCCGTACCCTCACTCCCTCCAGGCTTCCCTCCCCCCTTAGTTCATGTCCATGGGTCATCACAAAAGTTCTTTGGCTTCTCCATTTCCTACACTATTCTTAACTCTCCTTTGGCTATTTTGTACCTACCAATTATGCCCCTTATTCACTATATCTTTTTCCCTATTCTCCCCTCTCACCCTCTCTGCTGATAATCCTCTATGTGATCTCTATTTCGGTGATTCTGTTCCCGTTCTAGTTGTTTGCTTAGTTTGCTTTTGTGTTTTAGGTTCAGTTGTTGATAGTTGTGAGTTTGTTGTGGTTTTACTATTCATATTTTAATCATATTTTTTAGGTAAGTCCCTTTAATATTTCACATAATAATGACTTGGCGATGATATACTCCTTTAACTTGACCTTGTCTGGGAAGCACTTTATCTGCCCTTCCATTCTAATTGATAGCTTTGCTGAATAGAGTAACATAGGTTGTAGGACCTTGTTTTTCATGATTTTGAATACTTCTTTCCAGCCCCTTCTTGCCTACAAGGTTTCTTTTGAGAATTAGATAATAGTCTTATGGGAACTCCTTTATAGGTAATTGTCTCCTTTTCTCTTACTGCTTTTAAAATTCTCTCCTTAGCTCTGGATAGTGTGGTTTAAGTGCCTGCCTGTAAGCCAAAAGGTCACCAGTTTGATTCCCAGTCAGGGCACATGCCTGGGTTGCAGGACAGGTACCCAGTAGGGGGCATGTGAGAAACAACCACACATTGATGTTTCTTTCCCTCTCTTTCTCCCTCCCTTCCCCTCTCTCTAAAAATAAATTAAAAAAATATTTTTAAAAAGATTCTCTCCTTATCTATAATTTGGGTAACTTAGTTATGATATGCCTTGGTGTGTTTCTTCTTGAATCCTACTTCTCTGGGACTCTCTGAGCATCCTGGACTTGCATGCCTATATTCATTACCATTTGGGGGAAATTTTCCTTCATTATTTTTCAAACAAATTTTCAATTTCTTGCTCTTCCTCTTCCCCTTCTGGCACCCCTCTGATTCAGGTGTTGGAACGTTTACAGTTGTCTGAGAAGTTCCTAAACCCCTCCTCATTTTTCTAAACTCTTGTTTCTTCATTATATTCTGGTTGAATGTTTATTTCTCCCTTCTGTTCCAAATAACTCATTTGATTCCTTCCCTTCACTGTTGGTTCCCTGTATATTTCTCTTTATTTCACTTTGTATAGCCTTGACTTCTTACTTTATTTTGCGTTCATACTCAATCATTTTTGTGAGCATCCTGATTACCAGTGTTTTGAACTCTGCATCTGATAGGCTGGCTATCTCTTTATTGCTTAGTTTTGTTTTGTTTTAAGTTTTGCTCTTACATTTTGGCCCATTTTCTTTGTCTTAGCACACCAGTCTGGATGAATGTTTCTTCTGTCACTCCTTGGCCGTCGGAGTTCCACACAGTTCAATTTTATGGCAGTTTTGGTTGTTCTTTTTTGTTTGTTTTGTTTTTAAATTGGTTGTTCTCTTTCTTTTGGTTGTGCAAGTCAGCAAACCTACAACACCATCTTGTCTGGAAGCCCCCAGTATTCATTTTTTGTTACATCATTCATGTCTTTAAACTCTAAATACTTTCTAGATCGAAACAGACTTGAAAATGCTTAAATGATTTTGTATGCTCTGACAGGTGTCCAACCTTTTGGCATCTGTATTGGGCCACATTGGAAGAAGAAGAGTTGTCTTGGGCCACACATTAAATACACAAACACTAGTGAAAACTGATGAGCAAAACAAAGATCCATGCATAATTTACAATTTTGCATTAGACCACATTTATAGGCATCCCAGGCCACATGCAGTCTGTGGGCTGTGGGTTCGACATCCCTGCATCCCTGTGATAGTTCATGAAATTGCATGATAAATATAATTACCACACTATTTGATACACAGAACTTTATTTTGAAATAAAAAATTACACAGCCTTTGAAATCACAAACTGGTTCATACAGAATAATCTTGGCCCTAATTTCTAAAATCAAACTCACTTTTTAAAACCTTCTAATAAAATGGTAAACTTTTAAACTTTGAACAGGTAAACTTTAAAGTATGACCAAGAAGTAAATACTTCATGAGATTCATCATATTACTTATTTTTATCTCTCTTAGCATGTGAAATGTGAGTTTGCTCTGTTTTGTGCACAACTCCTCAGCAAAGACTTATTCTATTTCTATATTTCAAAGTTTCCCAGAAAAGCAGAACTTTTAAGTTGTTTAAGTTTAAAATAATGTTTTTGCCACTCAGCATTAAAATGTATAAAACCAAAACAGAATTGCTTTCAACTGAAGGTATATTTCCAAGCCACCTTAGATAGGACAAATACAATTTATGGTAATACTTTTTAGAAATATTTATAGCTTAGTGCAGTATCTTTAACATTGTTCTAAATCAATTTTTTAAATGTGAACCAAAAATTTTAGAATTTGTAATACTAGATATATAAATATTCAAACTATAAATAATTGTAACACTATGAAAGTGAGAAAGGTGACTGAAGACATTAAACACCATTGAGTTTATTTAACCAAGTGTTCCTGAGGTGTTCCAGGCATGACAGTGATGAGGCCACAGAGTTGTCTGGGATCAGCAGCTGAGTGTTGTTACAGCAGGAGTCCCAAAAGGCAGAGACGGTCCTTAGGAAACCCTGCAGTGGATTCATATTGACAATAATAAGCTTTCATGAGGGACAGGAAGCATATTATGATCTAATCAGGCTAAACTTTTGCCAAAGCCTGGATTTAGAAGCACAACCATGTCAGTCTAAGTTTCTTCATTTCGACACAGAGAAAAGCTTTCTAATACTTTTATTTAAATAAATAAGTTATAGGTGAACTTCATGGAAAACCTATAGAATAAATTTCTTGTTTGAGCCCATTTGTTTCATTTGATAGTTTTTGAGAAATTTGTAAAGATCTGCTTCTTCACATTTTAGTTTCATCAGTCCACCTGGATGGAACATGAGGTCAACAATGTACACTTCAGGAGTTCAGGTGGGAGACTCCCAGTCACTCCCTTCTGAGATTCATTTTTCAGCCTAACTTCATTCCACGCTCTTCCACACCCTTTCCAACCAAAGAGCAGCTGATGCCAATTTTATCGGCCAGAGCCTGTGGGTGAAAACACGAGATCAACCAAGAGTGAAGAGGGAGAGGGGTGGGGGAAATCCTTAGTTGTAAGACCCACCTTGGTTGGAGGTGAAGCACACAATTCTTGCAAAGAAGTGCTTAGATAGGAGGCTGAAAAAATGTGGAATATTGTGATAGGAGCTGATAAAATGTGGTGGGTTTTCTTGTTCCTCAAGATCCTGTAGATTTAAAACCTCTGTGTAGGTCCTGCTGGGAAGTGACATTTTTCAGGCAGTTCCACTGCACTGTATCAGCACAAGACTGATGATGTCTTTGGAGAAAAGCTATTCCACAGGCTTTCAGCACTGGTGCATCTATCAATCTTTCCATGCGCCTAGGCTGCTCTTTGGCTGTGGTACACAGTGAGATTGAATGGAGGGACCAAATGGGTGGGGACCTATTTCTAGCCAATTTATTCTGGGTGATGTACATAGACAGATGCTATCGAGCAGGAGAGAAATTGTGAGTGGTTGGTTCCTCCTGGGCTGCCTGCTGCCACCTTCTCAAGGGTTGCTTATGTTTTCAGGGAGTTGACTCTTCAATTTGTCTTGATGTAGGGGTTATTAAAAAAAGCAGCCTTAAAATAATCTGGAAACTTCTTAGCCACATTACAGTGGATAGGAGAGCTGGCTCAGACTGTCTGGGTTTGAATTTCAACTCAGCCACTCACTAGTTGTTGTCACCTTATGCAAATGACTCAGCCTCTGTGTGCTTCCATTTCTTCATCTGTGAAATGAGAACAGCAGTCTAACCACCATCCTCATGAGGGGTTTATAAAGATGAAGTGAATTAATACGTGTCAAGTAGTTACAGCATGAATGCTGTCACAGAGTGAGTACTCAGTAAACGTGCCTGGTACTAGAAGGCAAGAATTGTGTTATTTCAATAATCTCTATATTCATGTATTAATGTAATTTATCTGAATGTATAGCACTCAGTGATATTGTGATTTCTAATAAGAAATATCTTGGTCTTCATCAGGGTTTCCGGCACAGAACTCCTAAAATCCTTAGAATTTCCTAAGTGAGAGCCATAAGGGTATATCTTTTGTCATGCTAATGAGATGACTGTTGGACCTCACCTGAGGATGGGCCTGGTTGCCCAGAGAATCAACCACTTGATTAGAGGTTTGGAACTTTCAATCTTACTCCCTCCCACTGCCTCTGTGGAGAAAGGGAGGGCTGGAAGTTGAGTCAGTCAATGGCCAATGCCTATGTAATGAAGCCTCAACAGAAACCCTAAAGGACAGGGTTCCAGAGATTCTGGGTTGGTGAACAGGTAGAGATTTGGGGTAGTGAACCTCCCGAGGAGGGCATGGATGCTCCACACCCTTTCCCCACATCTTCACCTATATTCATCGCTCCACCTGGCTGTTCCAAAGTTACATTCTTCTATAATAAAATGGTAATCTAAGAGGTATGATGTTTCCCTGAGTTCTATGAGCAGCTCTTGTAAATTAATTAAACCCAAGGATGGGGTTGTTGGAACCTCTGACCTGTAGCTGGTCAGTCAGAAGAACAGGTGATGATAACGCAGGCTTGTGACTACCACCTGAAGTAGAGTAGGGGGCCATCTTGTAAGACTGAGCCCTTATTCTGTGGAATCTAATGCTATATCTGGCTAGATAGTGTCAGAATTAAGTTGAATTGTGGAAACCCAATTGTCAGAAAATTGCTTTGATGTATAGAACACTTTCCCTCTCAAGTTGGAATTAGTACTAGAATCATTTAACACTCATAGTTTAGTGTGGTAGAGAGAAAAAATAAACATACAGGGGTTTGCAAAAGTAGGTTTACAGTTGTTTGCATAGAAAATAATACAATAATTAATAAATAATAATACAAGAAGAAACTCTATATTTTGCATACTCACAACTATAAACCTACTTTTGCCCACCCCTGTATAATAATCTTTTCCAAAATAACTTTTCCAAAAAAACAGATCTCTTACTCCATGGCAAAGCACATTAAATAATCAAAACAACCCTGTGAAAGAGACACTATTGTATTTCCTGTTTTATAGAGAGTAAAACTGAGGTCAGGTAGTTTTCCCAAGGTCATAGTAGGTGGTGACTCAATGTGAGAGCTAGGGACTCTGTCTCAGGAGGTTGAGTTCTTAACCTCAGAATGATACTACCTCCAGCTGAGATGAATCTAAAAGTCCTTATTGTTTTTGTGAAGTGAGAAATCCCATCATCTGCTTAGAGAAGAGGTGAAAACTGAAAAGCTTAGAAAGAAGGGCTGATGTGGGGCATAGCTGCTGCGACTAGGAGCTGGGGAAAGGTAGCCAGGCTACCTGCAAGTGCACCTATGATGGACACCCTGAATCCGCTGTGACAATCCTCACTGTCATGTTCTGTAGCTGGAGTGTCATTAGTGGAAAGGACAGGCAATCAGACTGGTGGCCTGGCCAGGCAGAGGAGTAAAAGGATCGGGGGCGGGGGGGGGGGGCGAGAAATGAGAGAAATTAGAAAATTATAAGGTCTGTGGACAATTCATCTAGGCCACCAAGGAAGCAAAAACTAAAGCTAAAAAAGAGCCAAAAACTGGAAGAAAATGGGAGGGACAAAGAATATATATAGGATGAGTGAAAGATTTAGGAAGGGTGAAAGGATAAGGGACTTTATCAATGAATTAAGTTAGTCTTCAGGATTTCATTGGCGGGCAGGCCAGGCCTGGGTAATTAATTGCATGACTCAGTTGAAGTATGAGGGTAAAGAATGCAGCTTGGCATAATGTTACAGACTGGAAACTTGTCCCCTCCCCAAAATTCACATGTTGAAGCTCTACCTGAAATGTGATGGTATTTGGAGGTGGGGCCTTTAGAAGGTAATTAGGTCCAGATGTGATCACGAGTGTGGAGCTTCCATGGTGGCATTGGTGCCCTTATAAGAGGAGTTAGGACAGACTGACATCTGGATTATAAATAGAATTAGGGACTGGAGGCAACATACACATGGATGTAGTGAGGCTTATAGGTACTTGGGAGAGGATAAGAATTTTATACATTCAGTCTATAGTTTAGAAACCATTTTCTTAGCTCCTTTTATATTACTGACACTGGATACAATGGAGAAAAGCAAAGATTTCTTAAACCCCATCCTTCTCCAGTGTACTGCACTTTAGTGGATGATGCCACTGTTACCAGCTGCCCCTTCTAGAACTTAGAAATAGTTCTGTTCTTCTCCTGTTTTCTCTCACACCACACCTACGCACTTAGCAACTCCCCTCCGCTTTATCTCTTAAATTTCCCTCTAAATTCGCCCCACTTTCACATCCTCGACTATGCCTTCGGTAAAGGTCATCCATAGTTTTTGCTCCAGTAACCTTCCAACTGGTCTTCCTGTCGCCAGTCTTGCCCCTGCTCTAGTCTATCCCACATTCTGTTGCCTGAATGGTCTGTGAAAATAATGTTGCCCGCTCATTTCCCCTCAATAACTCTTGGTGGCTACTCACATGGTGCTTTATGATCTGGTCCTTTAGCCTCATCTAATTCTTCTCCTTTCTCCATCCAGACAGACTGTCCCACATTTCCCAAATGGCCCATTGACTCACACCTGTTATTTTGTATAAAGGTTTGCTTTGTTTAGAATACTCTTGCTTCCTTCCTTATCTGTTGAAATCCTATATCACCTCTAATATATCATTTTCTCTCCTGAAACTTTCCCTGACATTGCCTTAGAACCCACATGTCTGGCTTAGGTACTCCTTGTATGCAGGGGCAGTCACTTCAGTAGTTTTCTATTACCAGACCCCAGAAGAGGCCATGACCTCTGGTCGGTGTATGATAAATATTAAATGCATATGCTTTTAACAGCCTGTGAATATATATGTACTTCTGTGTATGTGTATACACATACATATATATCTCAAATCTAAGTGATAGGATATTATCCAGTTGGTGGCTGGCTCACTCTATTATGATAAAGAGAAAACATTTTTACCTAATGGCAAATGAGGCAAAACATCTTAAATACCTTGAAAAGCAAAGCTTGATGGTAGAATATCCCTTCTTTGATCTGTCCAATTGGCACAACATTGGATTTAAGTTGAAATTTTATTTCACTTATGTGAAGTTGCCAGACAAAATTCTGTAGTTTCTCTTTTGGAATTTTACTGCCCATTTTTTTCTGCCACATACCTGTGTCAATTAATTGTGATCAAATCACTCAAGTTTAATATCTCACTTTGGATGCTTTGAGTGTAATTATGTGTGTAATTATAAAAACTATATTCCCTCTGGTTTTTTTGTTTGCTATATTATTTAAAATGTACTTCCTGTAACTAGGTTAACATTAGGCTTACTGAATTCAAAACATCATATATAAACTGAAATTCTAACAATTTTATTCAATGAATGGAAAGAAATGCACGCTAATTTTCCCAGTAAGATACAAATCAATATCATTAAATTTTTTATCAATGGAGATTTAGAATTTTATCCTATTCTTGAAAAGTATTTGTAAATGCCTGTCTGAAATCCAAGGCACTGTACTAACATATGGTCCTTCTTTCAAAAAATTTAAACTCAGAGACAAGACAAACACATAAATTTTCCCATTAGACTTCCAAATATTTTTAAGTTTTATAACGTTTCTCTTTTAAATTTCATTATGCTTTAAATTTAGTGGGAGACATGACATTTACCTAACACTGAAGTCAGAGGACAGAGGAAGAAGCAAAAAGGATAAATAAGAAACAGCTGAGGAGGCAAGGTGGCCGTGGTACCCTTTCCTGCGGGCTTCTCCTAATACTAGGCTCTCCCTGAAGAAATCAGGAAACGCACCTGCAAAAATCCTCTGCAGACTAAGGCTACTGTGTCTTAGAGTAAAGTCAGAACTGCATATTTTAAAGAAAGAATTTCTCCTTGTTGCATGTGGAAGGGAGCAAAACAATCATGAAAAACAAGGGAAAGAGCTGAGGAGAAAGCTTCTGACCTGACCCACAGTCTTACCGCCCAGGGGCACTGTAATGAAGGCCAGCAGCCGAAAGCATGGAGACAAATCTCTGTGTCTCTGTCCTGCTGTAGGTTCGGGTAAAAAAACAATTATTTGTGAATGATGAAAAAATATTTCTGATAGGAACAAAGCATGAGGAAATTTGACAAATATTGAAATGAGCTAAACCAGAGTTCTGCTTAAGTCATCACTTCTCAAGGACACGAGGAAATCTTTGGTAGCCAAAAATGTTTTTGTTCAGTTTTGCCTGATAAGAAGTCAGTGATCTGGTGGCTGGACTTCTTGTAGTTGTCACATTCAGGTTTGATGACTGCAGCTCACTTCTGTCTGGAGTAGATACAAGTTCCCATGGAGGCCGCAGCTGTTGCGCAATCCAGTAGCTCACCTGCTGGTTGGTGTCAGTCAAGAGGGTATCCTCCGTTTTCAGTGATTCTTGTTCCCTTGCAGCTACCAAGTTAAGTTCTCAGCTTCTCTTAGTGGAATCAGATTAAACACTGAGCCTGCCTAAACACTTTGGTATACTCACTCTCCCACTTGAGAGCAATGTGAAACATATAAAAATGGGAGACGGTTGTTTGTATTAGTAAACAACTTGTGAGTTTATAAATAATTCACAATAGAATTTCTTTAAATCATGAACACCCTATATACCCAATGAATGATTTACCTTTCAAACTTTTGATTCATCAAACAATGTGATTCTTCAGGATCACATTGGAAGATGCTTCTCATGGTTTAGCAGGAGAAAATGACAGGCATCTTTGCCTGTTTTTATTTTTAAATGTATTTGTTTATTTTAGTAAATCATAGTTGGCATATGCACAGGCATTTTTCTTTAAGCAATTTCTAACTCCTGATTCTTGGCAGAAATCTGATCTCAAATAGAAACTGAGAAAAAACATTCAATTCATATGTTTCTGCTTCAGAGTCAGAGAAGTAGGGAGCATCAAAGTTCAATTTTATTATGGAGTAGTTGTCTAAAAATTGGCTAAAAATGTAAACCAGTAAAATAAAATATTTTTCAGAAATTGAAAATGTATATGTGTGTATAGGCAACTTACTTTGAAAGAGCTTCAACCTGTTCCTTTGTATTTGTTATGGGAAGTATTGATTTGGTCACTTCATACACACAAGCACAGAAGTCGGGATCAGAGGGAGGGTACCATTCTTTACAGGGGCCTGCTTCTGCAGCCCATTTTTGTGCTGCCATAACCTCTTCCTCCTCCTCCAGCTTTTCTTCCTCTTTCTTTCCTCGGCCTTTCCTTTAAGAGTAAACAACAGCAATCAAAATGAATAAACACTCACTGTGCTCTGAGTTAATCTGAAGAACACCTAGGAATACAGTGTTTATACCTCAACGACCACACCACATAGTTGTCAAATTTTCAGTGACATTGATACAGTTTTAGAGTTCCTATGTTTTGCAGTAGAAATTAATTTTCAAGAGAACACTATAAGATTGATATATATAATGAAAATCATCTATTTGTCTTTTGTACAATTGCATAGCAGGCTGCCTGGCCCATCACAAGTATGCAATAAATATACATTGAATTGGAAAAAAAATAGGTTGCTTTCTCAGGAAGGTTTCATATCATCTCTTGTTTCAGTTGACATCTTCTGAAGGGAGAATTTGTATCACAGTTTTTAACAAAAATTATCCAAAATGTAGAAAAAAGCAAAGCAAAACAAGGATGGCATGGAATTCACATCACACAGAGGCAAAGACTCACCAAAAGTTTATCTGGGGAAATGTACTTAGTTATCTTTTTATTTTTAATTTGTTGGAGTGACATTGGTTAATAAAACCATACAGGTTTCACGTGTACAACTCAATAAAACATCATCTGAACATTGCACTGTGTGCCCATCACCCAAAGTCTCTCTCCTTCGGTCCCCATTTATCCCTCCTTGGCTCACTTTCACCGCCCCACGCCCCCTTAAAATGTACTTAGTTCTCCACTTGGGAAAAATGGAATGTACTTAATAAACAGTAAAGATACTGTCTAATTAAAAGATACTATGAATTAAAAGTTCCTGACTTAGAGAATTTACTAGTTATTATATAGATTTTTGTTTAGTTAAGATGCAAATTATTTCTGCCCAGTGAAAAAGATACTTCCAAAGGTTATGGTGTATTGTTCTAGAGGATGGTTAACGTCCAACAGGATGGTTTTTTTATATGGTAATCCTTTTCTAACATTTCTAAATTAAATACCTAACTTCTCAAATGTTCTTTGAACCAGTACTGACATCTTACTAAGTGTCTCTAATTAATGAGCTGAACAAAAATAATGGTGTGGGTCTTTTGCCAGGTAACACGGAATAAGCACACTTTATCCTGTCTCTCCCACTTAATACAGTCATAAAACCTGGGCAGAATATATACAATAACTGTTTGAAGACTCTGAAAAGTAATCAGTAGCAGAGAGATCAGAGAAGACATTGAATTACTCCTGAACCGTTGGTGAGTTTAACTTGTTTTTGTCCACTGTTCTACAAGCTGAACTGAACATAGCCCCACATCTGAAAGTGGGCATCAGCACAGACAGCTGAGGCTCAAGGAGAAGCCTGTTGGAGAAATAAGAAAGAGAGAAATAGAGAAAAGCCCTCGTTGGTTTATTTTTCTCCATTCTCTTGTGCTCCAGCCCCTAAGGAATCCTGTGACAGTGGTTGCAGTAGTGGCATCAGGATCCCTAAGAGACTAAAACTGCCTTATACTCACTTAGTCCTCCTGCTGTTTGGCCATAGATATGGATGCAGTCATGGCAAGAGTGTATCGGAGCAGGTTTTGGCTTGAGGACTGAGAAGGAAGCCCCAACAAGCCAGAAAAAAACAAAGAAGATCATGGAGAGGAAGGAGCTCAGGAAAGTAACAATAAAAATTTGTTTATGGATTCCTAGGCTTACTCCCACACTGTGTGTGCATGGTTCTGACTCAGAAAAGCACTCATGCAGGTTTTGAGGATTGAACTATGGGATAGACCATTTCCCAAGTCCCAAACTGGACACTAGTTGGCACACATGTAGGACTGATCCAAACAGCACTGCAAAGCCTTTGAAAATGAGACTGACAGTGGAATGAAAACTCACAGAACACTGGTTGGAATCTGAAGACTGAAAACAACTGTGTCAATTTCCTTTTAAAACACACACATATATACAACAGAAAATTCTTCTTAGAATGTACATAAGACCCATAAATAAGAACTGCAGGACTCATAACATGATATTACAATCTAATTACTCAGCATACAAAGAACCAGGAAAACCTCAACTCATATGAGAAAAGACAATCAATAGATATCAATGCCCAGATGATGCAGATGTAAAATGCTGCAATTAGTAACAAACACTCTGGAAATAAATAGAAAGTCTTACAAAGAAATAGGAGATATAAAATAGAATTTTGGAGCTGAAAAACACAATACCAAAACTTAGCAAAATATAATTTTGAATGGATTTAAGAGAATAGAGGTAACAGAAGAAATAATCCATAAACCTGAAGATAGATCAATATGAATTATCCAATCTGAACAATACAAAGAACAAAGATTGAAGAAACAACTGACAGAGTCTCAGGGGTTTGTTGTGCAATAAACAAAGATCTAATATTGGTGTCATCAAACTCCCAGGAGAAGAGAAAGATGAAGTACAGAAAAAAATGAATCATTAGGAGATGGCTTCATCAATTTGGTTAAAGACATAAATCTACATAGTCAGGAATTTTAGAAATGTCAATAAAATAAACCCAAAGAATTTCACTCCTGGGAAATTTTGACACATCAAAATTAACTATCAAAACCCAAAGGCACTGCCCTGGCTGGCGTAGCTCAGTGGATTGAGCACGGGCTGCGAACCAAAGTGTTCGCAGGTTTGATTCCCAGTCAGGGCACATGCCTGGGTTGCAGGCCATGGCCCCCAGCAACCGCACATTGATGTTTCTCTCTCTCTCTCTCTCTCTCTCTCTCTCTCTCTCTCTCTCCCTCCCTTCCCTCTCTAAAAATAAATAAATAAAATCTTAAAAAAAAAAAAACAAAACCCAAAGGCAGCCCTGGCAGGTGTGGCTCAGTTGGTTGGAGCATTGTCCTGGGTTGTGGACTTGGTCCTGGTTGGGGTGTGTGTGGGACGCAGCAGATCGATGTTTCTCCTGCATCGGTGTTTCTCTCTATCTCTTCCCCTTCCTCTCTCTCTGGAATCAATGAGTATATCCTCAGGTGAAGATTAAAAAAAAACAACCCTAAAGGCAAAGCAGGTGACATGATTGTCTATGTAGAAAATCCCAAGAAATCTACCAAAAAATGAAGAAACCTCCTAGAGCTAACATGTGAGTTTATCAAGTTTTCAAGATATCAGATCAACATACAAATTGAACCTACACAGTTCAGTGGCCATCAGCTCATCACTGGCGCAGACCATTACAGCCCAGCTGGCTGCCTTCTGACCTTGGCATTCCTGGAGCGCAGGAGCTCTATGAGGGGCTCCAATGCCCCTGAATTTCTTAACTGAAAATAGAAACCAGCATTTGATGCATTAGGAGTCCTGTATATAAGCATCATAGCAAAAATCTCATTATTTGATTGTTTTAAAGGTTGTAACTATGTAAAAACATTTTAGGATGTGTCCATATTTAGATTTATTAAATTCAGGGGAAAGATCAATTCCAAACCCATTATTGACAGGAGCCAATTTTCTGCTCAAAGTCAGGAAGAAGCCACAGTAAAGTAACTGAGGGAGGTCACAGTGATTTTGCATAGGGCAGGGACTGGGGAAAAAGCCATCTCCTCATTGCCCACCAGTGGGATGCCCTGAACTTATTCACTCAGCTCCTCAACACTGAGCGTTCATTTGGCCCTGAGGTAGACAGAAGAATGGTTCCCCAAAGATGCCCTCGTTCCTGGAAGAGATTTTGCAAATGTGATTAAGTTAAGGAGTTCAGATGGGAAGGTTGTCCTGGATTATGGGGTGGGCCCAATGGAATCACAAGGGCACTTAAAAGAGGGAGACAAGAGTGCCAGGGCCAGAGAAAGGAGGCGCGAGGACGCAGAAGTTGGAGTGATGAAGGAAGGGCCCACAGCCGAGGAATGCAGGTGCTGGTAAAAGCTAAAAGGGGCAGGAAGTGGGTTTTCCCCTAAAGTCTCCAGAAAGAATATGGCTCTGCCAACACCTTGATTTTAGCCAATTTTCAGATTTCTGACCTCCCGAACTGTGAGACAGTGGATTCATATTGCTTCAAGAAATGAAGTTACAGTGGTTGGTTGTGGAAGCAATAGGAAACTAACACAGCCCCCACAGCAGGGTAGGGCCGTGGACACTGCCGCCAGGTCCACAGTGTGGCCGCAGCAATGCTGAGGCGATGACCTAAAAAGAGACCCGTTTCTGTTGTCCTTGTGTAGTGTCTTTTCATTTCTCCAAAAAGTAAAAAAAGAGAAGAAAAATAACAAAAGAACTGGACAGAATTACATTTATTACATTATTAAAAGAAATTACTTATGTATAAAATTATTACAACCAGAAAAAAATATTTGACTGAGCTATTGTTTCACTGTCTGAAGTGCAATGCTCTATCACCTGAGCCTGGGGGACAAAAAGCGTATTCTGCAGGTCTCTGTGTGCAGTATCCAAAGACGAGAGTCCTTGTGGAACATGATCCACTTTCAGTCACTTTCTCCTCAAACAAAGGGACTCTGGCAGACACTACACATCAGCATATGTGACTGGGCAGCTCAGAAAACTTTCCTGAAGCATCTTATGCTTAACAGGCCAAACTTCTGAACATCTTTATTTCTGAGTATAACATAAAATAAATAGCAACCTAGCTCCATGTGTTCTTTGGCAAAGATGTAATTATTTATTAATCCCTCCACTCCTTCCTTCATTCCTCCATTCATTCATTCATTCATTCATTCATTCATTTCATTTACTCATTTATTTAACAACTGTCTACTCATCGTGCACTATGTGCCAGGTGTGTATTAATGACGTGAACACAAGAAAGAAAACCCTCAGTTCCCTTCCCTAAAGGAGCTTATAGAATCTGTCATACAGGAACCATATAATGTAACACGAGGGCCAGGGAGGCCTGCACAGGGTGCAATGGGAGTGCGGAGGAGGATGCACCTGAGTTTCAGGACTGGAGAAAGGTCTCACAAAACAGGATGACTGAGCTGGGTTTTGAAGGAGAAAACAGGCATTTATCGGGATGACAAAAGTGAAACTAGCTCCCCAAGCAGAGGAAACAAGGAGCTGTAACTAAGAGAACAGGGCATGCTGGCAGAATCACAAACAGCACAGTATTCTGAGGTACAGGGCTCCACTTGGAAGAGACTTCAGGCTCAGGCAGGCAGGTGCGGATCACTGCGGCCCTCTCATAGCACTCTAAGCAGCTCACCTTTGACCATGGGGCAATGGCACCCCACCGGGGACTTGCAGGAATGTGGTGAGGTGCCATTGCATATTTGAGAGATCAGCCTGGAGGCAGTGTGGGGAGAAGGAGGTGACAGAGGTAGAGAGATCATTAAAGGGTCAGCTGCAGTGCTCCAGGAAATAGATGGACTACTCTGCAAGCTGCATAGAGGTGTAGCCAAGACACTTTTGTCTATCACTGTGTGCTCCATCCTTAACATAGTGTCTGGCACATAGTAGTTGGTAAAGAAATATTTGGTGGCTAACTTACTACTTTAATGGATAAATATAAATGAACTGAGTTAAAGGGCACAGAGAAGGGGGATAAAACAGAAATCTAAGAGACAGAAGAGGAAAGACATGGGAGCTGAGCATATAGCACAGTGTGAGAGCATGGACTCTGGGCTTGAGCTAACACTTACCACCTCAGCTTAGAGCCCAGTACTTCATTAAGCCTCACTGCCCTCATAGGTAAAATGGGAATTACAAACATACCTATTTCAAGTGGGGCTCAAATGAATGTCAAGTGCTTAATACAGTGCTTGGCACAAAGTAAGTACCCAATAAATGCTAGCTATTTTCATTTACATTGAGAAGAGAGGGACAGAGCACTAGGCTGTTTGAACGAGTGCCATGGTGACAAATGAATATAAGAAAAGCAAGAGATAAAGGGAGGTTTGTAGGATTATATTAAATCTTTCTAAAGATTTAACCACAAGTACCAAAGACACTTTCATGTGATAGACTTGTAAAAAATGCAATTCTATCTTTTCAAATTTTACAACATGAGAAGCAAAAGAATGTGTGACCCTTGTGCACAATTTCAAGAATCACAGTAAAAGGCACACCTGCTTGTTTACCACCAGCTTGAGAAATGGCACATTTCCCTTGTTCTAGGGGACATATCAGTGAAAATACTGCTGCATGGAGTATCTGAGGTTTTCCTCCCTATGTTCTTCTCTATGACTTTTATGGCGTTGCAACTTATATTTAAGTCTTTTATCCATCTTGAGTTTATTTTTGTATATGGTGTAAGTTGGTGCTTGAGTTTCATTTTTTTGCATGTAGCTGTCCAGTTCTCCCAACACCATTTGTTGAAGAGGCTATTTTTTACTCCATTTTATGCTTCTGCCCCCTTTGTTGAATATTAATTGACCACAGAGACACGGTTTAATTTCGGGCCTCTCTATTCTGTTCCATTGATCTCTGTGTCTGTTCTTATGCCAGTACCAGCCTGTTTTGATGACAGTGTCCTTGTAATATGGTTTGATATCATGAATTGTGATCTCTCCTACTTTGTTCTTCTTTTTCAGGATTGCTAAGGCTATTTGGCATCTTTTTGATTCCGTATAAATTTTTAGAGTATTTTTTCTAGATCTGTGAAATCTGTTATTGGTATTTTAATAAGGATTGCATTAAATCTATAGATTGCTTTGGGTAGTATGGACATTTTGATAATGTTAATCCTTCCAATCCATGAATATAGTATATGCTTCCACTTATTTGTGTCTTCCTTAATTTCTTTCTTCAGTGTTGCATAGTTTTCTGACTACAGGTCTTTTACCTCCTTGGTTAGATTTATTCCTAGGTACTTTATTTCTTGTTGCTATATGAAATGGGATTTTTTTTCCTGGTTTCTCTTTCTGATATTTCATCATTAAGCAAGGGTCATAGAGGAAAGAATAAACAAATGGGACCTCATCAAAATTAAAAGCTTCTGTATGGCTAAAGAAAACATCAGCAAAATGAAAAGAGAACCAACTGTATGGGAAAGTTATTTGCCAATGATACTTCAGGCAGGGATTTGATCTCTAAAATATATAAAGAACTCATACAACTCTACTCCAGGAAGACAAACAATCAAATTTAAAAATGGGCAAAGGAACTGAACAGACACTTCTCCAAGGAGGACATACAGATGACCCAGAGACATGTGAAAAGATGTTCAGCATCACTAGCCATCAGAAAGATGCAAATTAAAACCACAATGAGATACCACTTCATACCGGTCAGAATGACCATCAAAAACAAATCAACAAACAAGTGCTGGAGAGGATGCAGAGAAAAGGGAACCCTAGTGCACTGTTGGTGGGAATGCAGACTGGTGCTGCCACTGTGGAAAACAGTATGAAATTTCCTCAGAAAACTAAAAATGGATCTGCCTTTTGACCCAGGAATTCCACTGCTAGGATTATAGCCTAAGAATCCTGAAACACCAATTCAAAAGAACCTATGCACCCCAATGTTCATAGCAGTGTTATTTACAGTAGCCAAGTGTTGGAAACAGCCTAAGTGCCCATCAGTAAATAAGTGGATCAAAAAATTATGGTACATTTACACAATGGAATACTATGCAGCAGAAAGAAAGAAGGAACTCTCACCCTTAGCAACAGCATGGATGGAACTGGCGAACATTTTGCTGAGTGAAATAAGCCAGATGGTAAAAGACAAACACCATATGATCTCACCTATAGTGGAACCTAGTCAACAAAACAAACAAGCAAGCAAAATGTAACCAGAGACACTGAAATAAAGAACAAACTTACAGTAACCAGAGTGGAGGGGGGAGGGAGCTAATGGGGGGGAGAGAAGAGGAAGGGTCATCAGGAACATACATAAAAGACCCATGGACAAAGCCAAAGCAGGGAGGGATTGATTGTAGGAGGTAGGAGTGGATGAGGCAAGGGAAAGTGGTGGCAGGAAAATGGAGACAAGTGTACCTGAACAACAATAAGTAAGTAGGTAAATAAATAAATAAATAAAAAGAAATTGTACATTTCAATAACCTTGAACCATGGGTGCTCCTCTGAATCACACCCATACCCTTAATTCCCCAAGAGGAAGCCACTTTCTTGAACTTGGTGTTGATCATTCTCTCACTTTTCTTTATAGTTCTAACTTGTATGTGTGTATATATGCTTTAGCAACATATTTTTTAGCTTTGCATATTTCTGAATGGTATGTACATGGAATCGTAAGACACATTCTTCGCAACTGGCTTTTGCTGAGGATTGTTTGTTGAGATTCATCTCTGTTGATGTCTGTAGCAATAATTCATTCATTTTCACTGATGTGAGATCTCATTTTATGAATATACCATAATTTATTTATCCACTCTATTAACAGTTGGACAGTTGGTTTGTTTCCAGTTATTTAGACATTATAAACAATGCTCCCTGGAGAATAGAGGCAAGAGATTATTCTAGGAATATACACTTAGAAGCAGAATTGATGATTTACAAGTTATGCTCACCTTCTTAGTTAATGCCCTTTTGTTTCCAAAATATTACATCAGTTTTGAGAAACTTAACTAATGGATCTGTTCATACACTTGAAATTGTTTCAGATTAATCCACCCATAAGTATGAACCAGAAAAAAGAGAGCAAATGTTTTTTAAAACTCTCACCTCTGTCTGGGCCTCAACATCGCAGGCAGTTGCCGCGATGGCGAGAGCAGCTTTGCTCTGCACGACCGTGTTTGCAGACCGCAGCGGGACGATGAGCGCATGCGTGATGTCGTTGCTCTGAATGATATCGCGCAGGGCCGCCTGCGTTGCCATGTTCGTCAGCACAGTGGCAGCGTTGGCAATGGCTCCATCTCATTTACTAGACAGGAGGTTTATTAGTGGACTGATACCATCAGCTTCGGCAGCAGCACTGGGTAAATGAAGGCAAAATGAGTGTCATTCATCCAAGTCCAAGAAATTATCTTTGGAATGTACAATGAGCTATAAAACAAATAAGTACATAAATACAATTCTAGAAATAAATTAATTTACAATGTGATGAGCCCAGGATTGAGGCTTTAGCGATTTAAATGAAGTCTGGGGATATGTCATGTATGAATGAATTTAAATAATCCTTTTCCTACATCTGTAGCTTTTGGTTATAGAAAAATGTGTGACTACTTAGAAACGCTTCTATAGATATTCATTTTTTTTTATTTTAGTCTTAAAGATTTTATTTATTTTTAGAGAGAGAGAAAGGGAGGGAGAAAGAGAGGGAGACAAGTGTCAATGTGATAGAGAAGTATCTATTGGTTGCTTCTTGTACAAGCCCCATCAAGGAATCCACCTGCAACCCAGGCATGTGCCCTGACTGGAATTGAGCCAGCGACCTTTTGCTTTGCAGGACAACACTCAGCCAACTGAGCCATGCCAGTCAGGGCTACAGATGTTCGTTTTTAAAATCAGTGATACTCACAAGATCAGGCAATTCTATTCAAAGAAAGTCTATTAAAATATTCCTAACCAGCATGAAAACAAAGCTTTAAATAGGAGGAATGAGTGAGCATGAGAACTCTTGATTAAGTTCAAATTCTTTAGCTCATCTTTCCCTTTTTCAAATTACATTGCTAATTATTGGCAGAGGTTAGCACATTTGGAGGCAGCAACCAACCCGTTTTGCATGTGAATATTGCTTTTATAAATTAAACATCAAAAATCAAAGTCATGGCATTGACATAAGTAGGTAATTTCAGTAATGTAGGCATATTCAGTTGTTAAATTTCTGATTTCTCATATAAAAAGATTACAATATATTAACATTTTTAAATAATTAAACTAAATATCCTTTTAAGAACACTATACTTTCTGTAGTCCTTCATTTGTAAATACTTAAGAAGCTCATAAAATAGTAAATATAAAAAAGGGATCAGCCCTGGCTGGTGTGGCTCAGTGGATTGAGTACTGACCTGTGAGCCAGAAGGTTGATGGTTTGATTCCCTGTCAGGGCGCATGCCTGGGTTGCAGGCCTGTCCCCATTTGGGGGCAAACAAGAGGCAACTAGTCGATGGTTCTCTCACACATCCATGTTTCTCTCCCTTTCTTTCTCGCTCCCTTCTCTCTCTGAAAATAAAATCTTTTTTTTAAAAAAGGGATCATTTTAATGACTGGAAGACAATCAATGATGTGCTATAATGTTTGTGATGGCTTCAAATAAGAGATGTTCCAAGCAACAAGATATATAAAGCATCTGGTTTCAAAGGAAGATCCAAAATTATGTTAAAAATTCATTTAAATCATCATTGATTTTATCATAGGAATAAAGGTAATGAAGACAATAAAAGCATACTTGATACTCCAACAATATCCACAACTATTTTAAGTTTATATTTGGCACATTTTCCAAAATTTACAGCTATTTTAATAGCCCCCAAAACAAGCGAGCCTGTGTGATGCAGCCCACCTCCCCATACTCTGATGCACTGAGCTTAGCTGGCACTGTCACTTGCATTTCCTGATTGTAAAGGAGAATTGACAAATTTAAGGACAGAAGTTATCACTATTGCCCAGAAAATAAATCCTCGATAAGGAGACCGGTAGCTGTAGGTGAAAGGAAGCTACGGTAGTGACGCAAACCGGAAGGAGCCTGAACAGCAGAGGCTGGGGACAGAAGTGACAAGAGGTGGCAGCTCTGAAGAATAAGGTTGGGTTGGTGTTAACCTTGAAGGAGCTTCCCACCCTGGCTTATACATAAATCACCCAGAAAGCACACGGTGCTAACACCAAGGCAAAGTCAGCTCCTGACTCCACTTTTCCCTTATTTGCTACATATTTATCCCTTCTGTGGTGTCTCTGGACAGGCATCCTTAAAACTAAAATTTGGTTAGATGACATTTAACCCAAATGTATCAATATAAGAATATTGAGAGCAAGTTAATTTCCTTTCTTAGGGAATAAAAAATAAACACTTTTAAGATAATGTCACATTTAATTCTCTCTTCTATTATTAATTGACATGGTGGTGTTTTGATTTTATGAATATGGGAAAATTTGGGGGCTCTAATTTATTTATTTACCAGAAACTTATTATATTCAACTTACAGTTGACACTGAATTAAAAACTATAGCAAGAATTTTAAATAATTTTAAACAATTAATATATTCTAATTAATTAATATATTCTTAAATCTTTTCAAAAAGCATTTTTTCCTCTGACTTATTTTTCAGGCACTTAATACAATCAGTTCCTTTTTAGTTTTTCCCTTAATTCTTATAAACATACCTTGGTTAAAACGCACCAGTCCTTTGTCACTTAATGGTTTTCATTTGATGATATTCACTGTTAAAAACATCTTGGAGACTAAGAATGAGCACACAGTGGAGGTAAATCAGTGGCACCCATGACAGAAGCCAGAGTGTACCAGGTAAATCCACACCAATAAATTCTTACAGGCTTTGTCTTCTGTGTATCAGGAAGCTTTTGGAAAATTTAAGTGAGTACACAGGGTCATGCTGCATCGTTTTAATTTCTGTTGTTTATAAATCAGATGTGCCGCTGCTCACAGCCTTTCTGCTTGGGTTTTGTCTCTGTCTTTCTCCTGTACAAAGTCATATTTGGCTTTGGTTCATTTATAATCCACCTCTGCTCTCTTCTTCACCCTTCAGGGAGACAGTCAAGGGAAGTACATAAAAACATGGTTGTTTAAAACACCAGAGACTCTAGCACACAGTGGAATATGGCTTCCACTGAACTGAACACAACTGCCCGCACGGGAAGACAGGCCGCACACGCACAGCTGGGAAAGCTGTGTGCATGATGTGAACATGTCTGCCCATGACTATGTGCAGCTCTGTTCACGTGGGCAAAGCATCGCTGCAATTAATTTATTATGGTAAAAAGCCAAGCTATTATTCTTACCTAAAAACTAGCTTCAGTTATAAGAGTGTAGAATTTGTACTTATAAAAAAGAATTGTGTTAATTTTGTGTCTCTCAAACCCAAGGCATCTGTTTTGTTTCTCCCTGTCTTAAACACACAAGCAGAAGCCTGCCATATTTTAGAGCACATTTCAATCTCCTTGACAGCGCAGCACTATCCGAGGGAATGGGGCAGAAGTCACACTGCTTGGTTAGAACGTCCAGAATTACAGGGCCATACATCATCACGATAATCTAAAAATATTTTCTGATATTTACTACCATTAGTCTCCATCCAGGTGCAGTTCAATGAAATTTTTATATGTAAATTTATATGTAAATTTTTAGCTTGATTCAAGAATCAAGCTAAAATCAAACTAGGGAATGTACAAAAGCATCTGTTTATATCATTTGATACATGTAAAAAGAAGTCAAGTTTGACATGTCATGTGTATCCAACCTGTTACCCAGTCCTGGCTACGTTCCACCTCCATATTTCTCAAACCTCTCTTCTCTCCACCTCTGTCTGTCTCATGGAATCCGATCCACCATACTCTCTTGTGAATTAGTATAAATATTGTCCTGACTGGTCTCTCTTCATCTTCTCCAATTCTTTCTCCATCTTATGACTAAAGTAATCTTTAAAAATTTTTTTATTTTATTTTTTCCATTACCATTTAGTTCCTTTATACCACCCCCTCAATCACCACACTGTTGTCCATGTGATCTTTTAAAATAATCCATATAATTATGTTGCTCCCTGCTTAGAACTGTCATGGCTCCCCATCACTCAGATGAAGCTCCAATATCTCACGTGGCCTCCAGGCAATGAGTGAGCCGAGCCTGCCTCCCTCTCCTCCCATGTTCCCTGCCACCCCTCTGGTTGCTCAGCACTCTGGGCATCTCGGACTGGCCGGACTCTGTCTCACCTCAGGGCATTCCTGCATGCTGTTCCCATTTCCTGACACTCTTCCTTCTGGAATATTCCCATTCATCTGTCAAGGTTCCACACAAATGTCTCAAAGAAACATTTCTGACCTTAAAACTAGGTTAGGTCTCTTTTTCACATAAGCTCAGACATTTATTTGCTGAACAGGTATACATATATTTTTGTTTTAAAAAGATGTTTGGCACAAATGTGCACAATCAGAGAATAGCAGCAATTTTGAAATATTATTTACAGCACTTGTTACAGAAAGGAATTCAGCACAAAGTCTTTAATAAGTGCCCAAGCCCCACAATAAGAATGCACTTACAGCCCTGGCTGGTATGGCTCAGTGGATTGAGTGCCAGCCTGCAAATCAAAGGGTCCCCAGTTCATTCTCAGTCTAAGGCACGTGCCTGGGTTACAGGCCAGGTCCCTGGTGGGGGGTGCATGAGAGGCAACCACACATTGATGTTTCTCTCCCTCTCTTTCTCCCTCCCTTCCCCTCTCTCTAAAAATAAATTTTAAAAATCTTTTAAAAAAAAAAACACTTACAGCTTGCGCACTAAGAACATTAAAAATTCAATTACACAAATGGTGTCTATTTATAGTTCACTGAAAACTGTGTGATTTCATGTCTGCTTTGCATTCATGTTCCCTTTGTCTAAAACACCCTTCCCTACACCTCCTGCACCTCTGCCTGAGGCACTGGAGTTCTCCCTTCAAATCCTGCTCAACCACCCTTTCCTCTGTGAAGCCATCTGTGACAGTCACTCCCCCTCCTTGTTAATCACTCCCTCCTCTGTCCTCTGTCTGCCCCTGACACGTACTTCTTAGAGGCAGTGTTTGAGTCGTATTTACATTCCCAGTGCTCACAGGTCAATATATTTTAATTGACTTGGATCACCTCAAAGGGAGTGATGAAGAAAACCTCTGTGGGTGTTGAGAAGGGGTGAGGGAACAGTACTCAGCTCAACTTGGAGTTTGCAAGAAGGGAGAGGACCCAACAAAATTGGGATCCCCACTTGTATCATTTACAGCTGCTGTTGAAATAGGGGTATTTCCTCCCCACCCCTGATGTTTCTGCAATTA